GATAATCTGCTTTTTTTTTTACTTTTTTTTTTTTTTCTGGACACCCACAGCCCCTTTTCCTGATAAGATAAGCTCCATATTTATCTTATTGTGTGAGTGAGTGAGCAAGTGTGTGTGTATGCACCCATGTGTCAGTCGTGGGTGGGTGTGTGCTGAGCAGCGTGGGGGAATGAAACACAGCATTGGCAGGACTGCAGCATAAGAGAGGCCCCATCATTCTCCCTAAGCTCCTGGCCTGGGTCACCCAGGAAATAAAAAAACTAATGAAATTAAAGGGGGAAAATGCTGTGTGAAATAATTTAATTGGAAATTTCATTTTACATAAATAAAATAAAGAATTTCAATTAATTTCTTAATGGAAACCCTCTCATAAAACTGACAACTGTTTCAGGATCATTTTCAGGGTGGCATTCTGAAATCATTTGATTAATCAAGCAAATTAAACTAAGAGGAGCAGGCTTTGCTTTCATCATACAGATAAAGGTAATAGCAGAAGATGAAGGAAAGAACAACTCCAGGGATCTATCCTTAATGCTTACTTAGTATTACTGAGCCTGGCTTAAAGAAAATACCCGTCTTCCTTAGTTCACAGAGAAGAACATGGAAAAAACTTCTTCTCTACAAAATATAAGACCATTATTATTATAGGTGGTCCCCAACATCTTGAAGGGCTGGTATCTGGGCTCAGCAGGGTCAGGGGAGGAGCCCTACTGTGCAGATAAAATGTGTCCTTTCTTTAGAAGTTTTGCTTTTGTATGAATAAGTGAGTTGTTAAGTTTTGTTATTAAGGTTATGCATCCTCCATAAAGTGAAACTGTGGAGCTTTTTAAATCTTCTTCTATCATTTGGAAAGGTTTAATAACATTGGAATTTCCTCTTCTCAAAAGGTTAGAAAGAACTCACCAGGGAAAATTTCTGGACCTGATACCTTTATTAACGGTGTGTCCTTCATAATTTTTCCAAATTTCCCTTTGGGAACTGATTGATTTAAGTTCCCTACCCATTTTGGGTCAATTTTAGTCGTTCTGTTTAAATGAGCTATGCCATCTAAGTGTTCAGCTTTTTTTTCCTAGAGCTTCATTATTCTCCAATAATCCTTTAACATCTTCTGAATTGAAGATTAGGCTTCCTTTTTCATTCTTGAGTATTTTTGCTTCATTTTCTTAATCAGCCTTAAAAGGATTTATCTATTTTATGGCCATCTTTTTTCAAGATTTTGTTGTTTTACCAATTCCTTAAGGTGACTGTTAAATTCCTTTATTTTTGTCTTTCTCTCTAATTAAAACGTTTAAGTCTATAAATTTTCCTCTGACTAGAGCTCTTGCTCCAGGTTTACCTATGAAGTGTTGTTTCATTCCTTCTAGATATCTGTTATTTGAATTTTTATTTTCTCCCCTTTTCTTTGGTCCAATTAGGCAGGACATTTTATTGATCCTTACTTATTTAATATTTCATTTACGTATGCTCAGAGAATGTGACCTTATGAAACTTCACTTTCTGAAACATGTTCAACTTTTCTTTGTGGCTAAGTATATAACTAAATTTTACCTTTAGTGGGATTTAAGATTAAAAATATTAAAACTATAAAAAGAAAAAAAAGACACCAGCCTGGGTAGCATGGTGAAACCTCGTTTCCACAAAAAACTTTTTTTTCTTTTTTTTTTTTGAGACTGCGTTTCACTCTTGTCACCAAGGCTGGAAGGCAGTGGCACGATCACAGCTCACTGTAACCTCCTCCTCCTGGGTTCAAGTGATTCTCCTGCCTCAACCTACCAAGTAGCTGGGATTAAAAGCTTGTGCCATCAGGCCCAGCTAATTTTTGTATTTTTAGTAGAGACAGGGTTTCACCACGTTGGCCAGGCTGGTCTCGAACTCCTGACCTCAGGTAATCTACCCGCCTTGGCCTCCCAAAGTGCTGGGATTACAGGTGTGAGCCACCATGCCCAGCCACAAAAAACTTCTTTAAAAAATTAGCCAGGCATGGTAGTAGTGTGCACCTGTAGTCCCAGCTACTCAGAAAGCTAAAACGGAAGGATTGCTTGAACCAGGGGGGCAAAGGTTGCAGTCAGCTGGGATCATGCCACTGCACTCCAGCCTTGAGAAGAAAAAAAAAAAAAGACAAAATTAATCTTGTCATATTCATACTTCCTGTCTTGCTTTTTAAATTTTATGTGATGTACGAAATCTTTATTTTGAACTTTTCTTTATCATTTGTTTGTTGTGTTCCCTGTATGTAAGACATATCTGGATTATTTAAAAACCTGATTTCAATGTAAAAAATGGAAATGTTCGATTTTATTATTTCCATCTTGCTTTATGTTTACTATTGATTTTACCTTATGTCTTTTTGTCTTCACTTATTTTTGCTGTGTGGATTAAGTTACTATTTATTTCTCCTCGTTAACTTGGTTGCCTTCCCTTTCCCAACTTTCAGAACCAACTGTATTTCTCCAGGATTATATGTAAATAAAGGCAGAAGCTGTTTCTCTACCAAGGTGCCTTTCCCCCCGCTGCTCCCACCCACCACAATAAGATGAAACCAGTAAGATGGAGTGTGTCCCCATCCTGCACTCTCAAGATGAGATCAATACATTCTTCACAGAGTTTAGGAATTTTATCTGAATAAACCTAAATCGTGTATATTTTCTCATCAGAACTCAATGAGTCCTTTCAATACAAATTAAAAAGCCTTTCCAAGGTCTTCCTTAAACATGCCAGGCAAAATGGCTTGAAAAGGTCCAGAGAAACACATTCCCAGCACTTCCTGTAATGCCTCTCTTAGAGAAACTCAGCTTCTGGGGAGTGGAGAAGTTGGTATAGAGGACAGAGGGCTGACAGCCCAGGCCCCACTCACTCACCTGTGTGCAGCGAGAGGTGTCGGGACAATGTCTGCTGTCGGCCAAACACTTTCCCACACACGTCACAGGGAAAAAGCTGGTCATTGAATTTCCAGGATGGCAATCCATTTCCTGCCTCTAGGACTATCTTTTCTGTTTCTGGGTCAAAAGAACAAAGCATCATGAGAAATAAGGCAACAAAAATACATTTTATGTTAGTCGACATTCAGGATTTCAGCCAAGACATCTCTCTGAAGATTGTGCCTATCAACTACAAATTAGTCTCTGCAACTGGTTTTCTTGCTCACTTCTGGTCTCTAAGAAGGCCATTCTTGAAAGCTGCAGTGGCAAGTGATTCCAACTCCAGTCAAATCTTCAGTATTTGAAGATTTGGTCTTTAGCCAACTAACCCTCTAGTAGGTTGACAGCACTGTGCCCAGTGGACAGCAGATACTCAATAAACATTTGTTAAATGAGTTGCCTGTTAAAATTCCAGAAATGTAGGCTCTTGCCACAAGACAGTAAATAAAGAACTGTAGGCCGGGTGCGGTTGCTCACACCTGTAATCCCAGCACTTTGGGAGGCCAAGGCGGGAAGATCACTTGAGCTCAGAAGTTCAAGACCAGCCTGGCCAACATGTTGAAATTCCGTCTCTACTAAAAATACAAAGATCAGCTGGACATGGGGGCAGGTGCCTGTAACCCCAGCTACTTCAGAGGTTGAGGCATGAGAACTGCTTGAACCTGGGAGGTGGAGGTTGCAGTGAGCTAAGATGGTGACACTGCACTCCAGCCTGGGTGACACAGTGAGATCCTGTCTCAAAAAAAAGTAAAAAAGGAAAAGAATTGTAAATCTCAGATTCTGAGGTGAAAAGAAATGGTTCAGTCCCTTGAAAGGAAACATGGTTTCATTCTCTTTAACAAGAAAGCTTTGCTCTTCATCACAGTTTGTGCAAAATCCTTAATGAGGAACTTCTGTTAAGTAGACTCAGTGATGACTACCACACACTGTGCCACAGAAAATTCCCTAATGCGAGAATGAACCAGAATTTCCCCAAAGGTCTCAAATTAGGGAAAACAGTGAGTGTCACAAATTATCTACCCATAGTTCATAGTTGTGAACGAAATAAATGGACTTTAATATATTCTCTAATCATCTTAAAGAGCTTTTGTTTTCTCATTCTTATCCTTAGGATTACCTTTAATTTTCTGATCCATGTTTCTTCTTGTGGAACTGTACCAGATTACACAAACATTCATTCTACGGTAATGCCATAAAACAGGTGACAGAGAACACCAGAAAGAGAGAAGAAGACACTTCTAAAAGGACACTTGAATGGGCCACTGATAGGCCTTTCCCCTCACTTTGAAGACCAAGACAATGGACACAGTAAGTTAATATCTTGTCTATCACCTTAGTGAATCATTGCAAATCTCCTTCAAGCACAGTACTGCATTATAGCACTGGACACCATGTGGTGATGATTACATGGTGGTAAGAACTTCTCATAATCCAAGCAGATGAAAATGCTCACAACACGGGTCAGAGATAACATCAGAAGAAAGAACTTTATTTCACACAATTTGGTTGAAACTGCTTCCCAAATACAAGCTTCTACTTCTATGTGGATAAATTAATGGGATCATTCTTCATTTGAATGATTTGTCAGATACGGTAATCTAAGAGAAGAAGAAACAAGTATGAATGTATGTCTGGAAAGGGGAGGAGAGGAGATGATGGTGAAATTGCCATACTGTTCACTGTGAGGCACCTGCCAGCAATTCCAACACTGATAAAGCACATGAATTGATTTATCTGTGTTTGTTAAAACATAGCGCTTGGGGCCTCAGGGAGAAGAGCTGCTCTAATGAAAGTAGGAATGTAGAAATCTTTAAAGGGAAAGAGGCCAGAAATGTGGGGGAAAGGGAAGTGGAAAAAAAAGGCAGTTGAACTTATGAGGACAAGAACCACTCTTAGACGGCTGTCCTTGAGTTCAAGCAGTGGGCATTTCAGCTGTGCAGTGAATTTCAGTATATCAGTAGCCCCTTTTAAGTGTATACTCAAAACAGTGCTTCAAAGAACGGTAACAGTAATAATTATAAGGAGAAGTCAAGAGGGTACAGGGTCTCCTAATACATTCACAAGAAGAAGGAATGAATGGGGTCAAATGCCAAACAAGCAGATGCAATTATAAATAAATAAGCATCTTAATAATTCCTTCAAGTATCAGTCATGTACTGGAGAAGTTGAAGCATCATGAACTGTCTGACTGCCTCCACTGGCTTGGAAAATGATGACAGCTACCGAGGTTGTGCTGCAGCTGAGTGGGATGAACACCCGGAGACGAAGTGAGGCAGGCAGTTGCCACAGGGCACCCATGACTGCTCAGCCACTGCCCCGCATCCAACTCAAAGCCTTATCTAGGGATCGCTGCCCTCCCATCCTATCTTTGCGTTTGCTACAGCCACCCATTTTCATTTTGCACATAGGAACGAGGCAACCACAGGCCATTTGGAGCCTTAACCCAGAACAAGACCTCGAAATCACAGCTGGGTGGGGCCCAGAGGGAGAGTCAGTGCGGAGAGGAGTATCACTGCGGCAACACAAGACCTGAAGCAAAGGCCTGCTCCTTGTTCTAGGAGCTGAGATGAAGCTGAAACAGGGCTCTGCAGATGCCACACTCTCCTGCATCTCCTGTGAATGATGCCACCCAAGTGTCATGTGAGAAACTTTAGAAACTGTTTTTGACTCCTCCCCTGACTCCCTTTCAACACATCCAATCAGTCACCAGAAGCTGATGTACTTACATAGATCTTTCTGGACCTCGCTGCCTTAACTGTGTCACCATCTTTCACCAACACTGTGGCTAAAGCCTTCAAAACAGCTTCCTTGCTCCCAGATTCTCTCCCTTCCAACAGCCCCTCCTCACCTGACAGATTCCAGAATGATCTTTCCGAGGCACAAATCTCATCACGTCTTGTCCTGTATGCCAATGGCTCCCCAAGGCCAAACTTCTGGCTTCTGAGTCCTTCATGGTCTGGCTCTGGCCACCTCCCACCACCCGAATGCTTGGCAGAGTAGACTGCTTGAATTTTCAGGAAGAAACAATTCCCTTTTAAGTGTCATTGCTTTTAAATCAACTGTTTCTCCACCAAAAGCTACTTCCCCCAACCACTTCTGTACAACAAACTCAGACTCAATTTCAAGCCCTATCTCAGATTTCATCTTTTCAGGGAAGACCTGCCCAGTTCTCAAGGTAGAGTTAGACATTTCCCTTCTCTGTCCCAGGGCACTTTCATGAATATTTCTGTTGTACCACTTTACCTATTATATTACTTGCTTACATAGCTTCTATAAGCCATACACACACACACACACACACACACACACACACACACACACACACACACCTGCATATAAGGCACCCCGCACAATCCAACATGAAGCAGTGCTCAGTCAACATGTTCCCTGGCCTCCCTCCCCTGGGGAAAGCGTTCTGCATTATTTATTCGTGTATCCTCAGCATTCACACAATCTCTGCTACATAAGAGGTGCTTAGTAAATATTTGTTGAATAAGTGAATGACGGAATAAAAGGGTTCAAGTGAGGCAGAGAATAGACATTATCCTTATAGTGGGAAAGACTAAAAATTTATTAACATTCATTAAGGCCTATGGCCAATTCAGAATGAAAAATCAGGCTACCTGCCTTTCGAATCGCTATTTTAACTAAATTCATTAACCGCTTTTATGATTCTATTTGTAGAAATGTTTGTAGTCCTGAGCTATACTCCCAAAAGCCCCAAATTCTTACCTCTTCCCAACAGCATCAAGCTACAAGATGATTTTCTTTATGACAAACTCTGGCAGTTGCCATTTGTCAGTTAACCCAACAGTCATTCTCAACTTCCCTTAACCCCGGCTTTCTCCCGCCATGGAAGCAGCTGGGGCAGCCATGTGCCAAAGTCCTGAGAAAGCTTCTGCTTTTCTGATAAAATGAAAGATATGACTGGTGTTGGCCCTCTTCTTTTTTCCAGCCTTGATCACAGAGGAAATAGCCGGGACTCTGAATATGAGGCATGTGGACAAAAGCCAACTGCCAAGGACGGAGAAAGAGAAAGATGAGAAAAGTATAGGTCCTTGATATGGTTTGGATCTGTGTCTCTGCCCAAATCTCATGTCAAATTGTAATCCCCAGTGTTGGAGGTGGGGCCTGGTGGGAGGTGATGGGGTCATGGAAGTGGAGTTCTCATGAGATCTGAGTTTTTAAAAGTGTGCAGCACCTTCCCCTTCTCTCTTCCTACTGCTCTGGCCATGTAACATGTGCCTGTTTCCCCTACACCTTCCACCATAACCAAAAGTTTCCTGAGGCAGCCCCAGAAGCTGAGCAGATGCCAGCATCATGCTTCCTATAGATCCTATGGAAGTGTGAGCCAATTAAACCCCTTTTCTTTATAAATTACCTAGTCTCAGGTATTTATAGCACTGCAAGAACTGACTAATCCAGTCCTCCATGGCATGTCTCAGTAGCTGAATGAACGCCAGAAACCACCCACTACTGGACTTCTTGTTTTGTGAGGAAAATAAGTCCCTGTTTGTTTCAGCCACTGCTGGTTAGATTTTCTATTACTTGTAACGTTCTTAACTGAAAGCCCCTCCTATGGTTCCTCTTGGTTTTAGAACTTTGAACATTAGGTTCCACCTTTTGACAGGCTTTAATTCCCAAACCGTCCCCGCTACCATTCTGTGAAAAATTCTACACATTTATTATCAACAGCAACAAGTGTACAGCCATCTGAACACATTTCCATCTGAATTATTTTCTTCTGCTGGGGAAGAGAAACTTTAAAAGCTTCTTTTAGATTATTCAGAAATTTTCTTTTAAAAAACTTTTTATGAAGCATAATACATGTAGCAGAAAAGTGCACATATCAATGACTGCTTTTAAGTTAGTTCCAAAGTCACAAAACAGCTTGGAGTACGGGTACTATTTCTAAATTTTTGCTCTTCTTCATCTTGATTCTCATATCCCTTAACATTTGTTTCATTATTTTAAGTGGCTTGAATGTATATTTAAGATTTTCTTCATTTCTTTTAGAAATACTTGTCTAATGATAACCTCTTTTTTGTACAGAGTCTCATAGGATTTTGTCTCTTATAAAGCATTTTATTTCTTTTCACATTCTTATATTCTGATCTGTGGGATAACCATAAATTGCTTCCATAAATTCCTGGCTACTTGGTATTATGTGATCAGATGGTTTTCTCTCTATTTTTCACCTATGATGTTTGCCTTGAATGTCATTTGAGCTTTTCCTCTTCCTTATATAGGTTTTGTTTTTGTTTTAAATAAAGCAAATAGATGTATAGCATTAAGCACTTTTGTCCTTAGAGTACAGCTAGAAAAATAGGAACACAGTGTAAGGAGAAGGATCCCATCCTAGCAATCCCAAAACAAGGTTTTCAGCTCTTCCTGTTAATGGTTAATTGAGGTCTGTTATCCATAATGATGAGGACTAGTTGGCCAAAATACAACATGGCAAACTGCTTCTTATAACCTAGTGATCCAAGGGGACGTGTCTCATTTCATGCATAGGTCCTGGGATGATGAAACCCATCCAGCATGTTTCCAAAAATTTTCCTTAATTAAACCCATTTGGTAAAATTCAGGAGGGAGTTCTATCAAAATATGCTTGACAAAACATTATATGAAGTAGAGGACTCAGTTATCTTCAGATCCAATTTGTTCATTTTCAGGAGACTAAAAATGACACATTATATTCCAGGACCTCTCCTACCCCAGACGACCCCACAACTTGCACAGCTTGGGCAATGGTTTCCATAGTAACTAAGTCTCTATCCCGCCCCAAATCTTAGCTCAAGGAGGAACCTTAACAATCATCTTGTTCAATGTCTTCTGTTTTTTATATAAGGAAACTGAGGCCAAGAGAACCTAAGTAATTACCCCTGGCTAGTGACTCTGGGAGAGCAGAGACAGACTCACAGTGTCATTCAAGCTCCTCTAAGCCATATGAAGTCAATGCCAAGGTCTACAAACAAAGGAGGGATTTTTCTTTTCTTCCTGTTCTTTGGCTCTGAGTTGAATACTCTTGGTTACAAATGGACATGTGCAGATTTAGCAACAATCCACAGACACTAGCATTTTTCTCCATTTCTCTTCTTAAAAGTGTAAGCCTAGACTATTTCCAGGCACAGAGATGTTAGAAACTGTCACATGTCAAAACTTAGAATAAAGAAGGAACAAGAGGAAGATCAAATAGGGAAGTCCTAAAAGCCAGTCCTCCCTGACTTAAACATGGTATTACTGAAGAATACCATGGGTTTTTCATTGCCATTTGGGGAGCATTTTTGGTAAAACTAAACAAACAAATAAGCAAAACCTCAAAAACTGAGAGGGACAAAGGAAAGGACTTTAGTTTGCTTCCTTTCAATTTTAACATCATTTAACCCTATTGTTTTGTGTATTGTTTGGCTTTGTTGGCGTGTTTTACTGTGTGACAAGATCCCTGTATTCCCTGACAAAAGAGTCCTCTCAAAGAACCATCTCTCAACCTGATTTTGGTAAAAGAAATGCTAAGACAGAAGGCTTTATTTGGCTACAGCCATAAGCAAAAGATTGGCCAAAACATGACCTCAATGCATAAATAACTGTTCAGATCAACTAAATCTTGTTACTGAAGAAGAGGCTCCGGGGCCGCTTGGGTTTCCCATTGTGACATATGGTATTTTGATCACTTCTTTCTTTCATCATCAAGGCTGGAATGTTTTGAGGCATACCTCAAACTGAAATTCTGAAATCCTCTGTACTCCTGGATAGGTTAAAACCTACCAGGTCATTTTCCAGGCAGAAAGCAGAGGGCATGGAACTTTCTGGTCAGACTCTATCCCTACTGGCTCTGTCCTTTGGTTTCATGGGCTCTGCATGGCCTCTGCTTAAAACAAGCTACCACCTTCTGAGGGCTGCTTGTGAAGCTAAGAGCCAGCTGTGGTTTATGACTCTTTGGGGGTTAATACCTTTGTTCCAGTGCTTGTAGCTCTTCTATATCCCTTTTTAATTTTTTCAGAGTCATTTCAATTTAGGATAACATCTACCGTTTTAGAATTTCCAGCTCAGAGGATCTATCTTGCAGTGTCACAGCTGTATTGGAACAGCAGCCACAATGCAGATGGCTGGCACTGGTGACCTGTCCCACCATTTCATTTACTACTAGTGACCCTGCACAAGATGCCGGAAGTGTTGCTCATGCCAGTCCTAACAGACTTACTAGGCTCCCTATGACCACCTCTCTGCATGTCTCGATGTAACCAACTTCTCCTTTAAGGACCATTACACTCTCCCAAAATACAGGATTATCTCCTGGCCAAGGTGTTACCTCAATGAACTGCTAAGACAGAAGAATTTAGAAATAGTTTTTGTCGGCCAGGCGCGGTGGCTCATGCCTGTAATCCCAGCACTTTGGGAAGCTGAGGCGTGTGGATCATGAGGTCAGGAGTTCGAGACCAGCTTGGCCAACATAGTGAAACCCTGTCTCTACTAAAAATACAAAAATTAGCTTGGTATGGTGGCACACACCCTGTACTACCATCTACTTGGGCGGCTGAGGTGGGAGAATCGCTTGAACTCGGGAGGCGAAGATTGCAGTCAGCCAAGACCACACCATTGCACTCCAGCCTGGCGACAGAGTAAGACTCTGTCTCAAAAAAAAAAAAAAAAAAAAAAGAAAGAAAGAAAAAGAAATAGTTTTTGTCAATCTGTGCTCAGTTAGAAACACTGGATGGAGGTTCTAGATGTAAAATAACACCCTTGATCTTCTTTGGGCTCATTTCAAACTTTAATGCTTAACAAACTTAGCAAAGTAGAGTTTTGCCTTACTACTTTCAGAGAGTCCGTGCTCAGGTCCTGAGAAGATGAAACCCATCAAGCATATCTCCAAAAATTTTTATTAATTCAATCCGTCTGGTAGACTTCAGGTGGCAGTTCTCTCAAACTCTGTTTGACAGAACATTAGATCAAGTAGAGGACTCTGCCACTTCCAATCCAATTCCTTTATTTTCAGGAGGATGAAAATGAAGCCTGACACTTCAGGGCTTCTCCGACCCCAGAGAGAAGGTGTTCTTGCACCCCACAACTTGCAAGTAATCGCTTCCACAGTAATTAAATCTCTATCCTGCCCCAAACCCAAGATCACGGAGGAATCCTAACAATCATTTTTTTTTTTTAAGTTGCTGTTTTACATATAAGGAAACTGAGGCCTACAGAACCCAGGTAACTTGCCTAGTGACTCTGGGAGAGCAGAGACAGACCCACAGTCTGCCTGTTCCTCTAAGCCATATGAAATCAATGCCAACTGCTTAGTAAATGGGTGCTTCTGAAAAATCATCCCAGGAAAACTGGGTTACTTTTTTTTCTTTGCTTAGTGCTGGATAACAGTTAGCTTAAAAAATACTGACTGACTGACTTATCCTCTCATAAAAAACTGTTTCCTATATCTGGTTCTTTATGCAGGTCATTTTAATTCAATAGTAGAAAACTGGACCTCGATTATTCAGGTAACAGAAATGGCTAGAACTAGGTACCCCTAATTTCCAGTGAGACTGATCACATAGAACTTGAGTACCATAGGGACCTTCTCTAAGCCTCCAAATGTAGACACTCACTGACAGAATCTAGGCCAACTGATGCCTGCCATTATAACAATATTTATTAAAAAAGAAAACTATATAACTTAACCTTTTATGAAAATAAAGGTTCATTTCCATGCATGAAAATTTGTAATGTTGCTTCTATGTTTTCCCTACACTTATATTTCCAAGATTAGTGGGATCCTCCGTAAAACCTTATTGAATAAATGATATAATCACATCACCAAAATCAGGACTGTTGTACTGAATGGCAACCTAATTTGATATTACAACATGGAAGCAAACTGACAATATTGATTCAAGAATCATGCCTAAAGGATCTGGTTATTATTTTCCCCATTACACAGACCAGTGACCACTTCTCTTCTTAATGATGATGGTAGGATTTAAGGTCTTAGCAAATGCCCTCAGAATGTCCCAATATTGAGGACATTTATAAATCTTTGTTAGAAAAATAATCAGGCCTGAAAATTGTGTCTTTTTTGTAAGTTTGCTTGGCTTTGTGGTAGAAACTGATGTTTGTTTACTTAATGTCCAACAGAACTATGTGGCTTTTTGTTTTGTTTCAAGGTGGCAATGTGCCCAGTTAAAAACATACCTTCCTTACCAGCTTCCACTGCTATTAGAGGCTGTTCATGAAACATAGCTCTGGACAATGAGATATAGGTAGAAGTTCCTGCAAAGAGATTCTCTGACATCCCTCCACTCCCCAGAAAAGACTGTCTTAGAAAAAGACTTTTGCCCTTCACTCTGCACTCTTGCTTCTTGGCTGTCTAGAGGTACCACAGCTCTCTTTCAATTGCGAAGATGAAAGCCATCGATGAGTGTGGGGGAGCAGAAAATTAAATGGTGGGTCCTCGCTGTCTCCTTCAAACAGCTATACCAGCCTTATATTGCCTATTTCTGAATTCTTTATTATGGGAGAAAAACAGATCCATAATTGGTTAAGTCTCTGTGGTTAAGCTGAACATGATTCCAACAGATAAAGACTTAAAGTGTATAAATAGTTTCATCCAATTTTGGCAGTTTATCTCCATTATGCAAAATCAGAATTTGTTAAAAATATATTAAGGAGACAATACAAAGTTAACACAATAGCTTATATTTATGGAGGATTGACCATTGCGTTAGTCACTATATGATGCATTTTACACATATGTTAATATTTAACCTTATAGCAGCACTATGTATTAGACACTATTATTACCATTTCTATTTTACAAAACAAAGCAACACAAAATGCAAAAACAGTATCAGGCTCAGGGTGGTTGAAGTCAAGGTCACCTAGCAGGAAAGTGATAGCCTTTCCCAAACCTAAAGCTGTCTGACCTCAAAGCCCATACTCTCAACCATTTATTACATTATACTACAAGACCATAGAGGAAAATCTAATGGTTCTAATTTATTTCACCAGAGACAGATCTTCTGTCTGTTACAATCTCGATTTGTTCCGCTGTAAATTCACCAACCATAAAGAAGAAGCATCCACGATCACATAAATCTAAAGAGGGCTTTATTGAGGCAACCCAAATGCTTCCCCCAGGGCCTGCCTGGAGACAGAATGGTGGAATTTGGAGGCTCTGCCTCATTTCCATTACCCAACTCCTCTTTGGCCTATTCCTGTGTCTTTACATCTGGTGAGCTGCTGGGTATGAAAAATCTGAGCACCAATTATGTAAATTTTAATTATCAAACTTATTTCAGGTAGCTTTCACTTGCTCCAGAATGAGACCCTTATAGTCTTTTCTTTCAACTTTTCCCAGAGAAGAAAAATAACAGGCATTCAAGTGCAGAGCTACCTGAAGACTGTATTAGGTGACAGTAAATCTTTAAATCCCAAAGTTATCTTCTATAATTTACTAGAAAGTACAGGCCCATACGAGAACACCTTGAAGAAAAACATTATCATTGTTCGGGGAAATAAAATAATTTCCCCTTTTCCCTTGTTTGTTGTTGAACTAGGTTCTCAATATATATTAATATTTACTTAATAAGTGAGGAAAAGGGATAAACTAAATGAAAAGAGTTGACCACTATAATTAAAAATTTAATGATCCTAAAATACTCTAATATTCTAGAAATACTCTGAATTTAGAAAGTAAATCCAGGCTTTCTAAAATACTAAAATATTAATGTTAATTTACTCCTGAAAGTATGCAATGTGCTAACAGAGTCATACCTATAGAGTCTTTAAAATATTGAATACATTTCTTCTTAAAATTCAAGTCACAGTCATTTCCAAATATTATTCAAGTAAGCCTCTAGGGATTCTGCAGTTCTCTTCACTAAGATTGGAATCCACTGGTATTCTCAATTATTCTAGTCTTCTTTTCTTATGGACAAGCCTTGATCATATCAACCATTCCTTTAAAGATTTCTAAATTTCCTTAAAGCCCTTATCAGCTCCCAGACACTGCAATATTCTTGTGTGACTACATCCAGTTTCAAATTTTCAGTCTTCCTCTTTCTCTTCTCCTAACCTATTGAATTCTGTATTAATAGAAAATATAACTATTCTGCTTTGCCTTTCTCCTGACCTTGGGTTTTAGCACATTATAACATTTTTGTTAGTTAATGGCAGATTTAAAGCTGTAAGGCAACAGTGGTCACACATAGTTTTTCTCCTTGATCCACAAATTCTACCTACTTGACTAGGCAGGGTTATATGTTTTTATATGGTGAGGGTTTCTGTTTGTTGGCTTATGTAATCATTTTTCCTCCAGTGGGGAATCACAGACATAGGATTGGGAAATGCTTTGTGTCTTAGCTCAGTCTGCTATATAACAAAACACCGGGTGACTTATAAACCACAGAAATGTTTTTCTCACAGTTCTGGAGGCTGAGAAGTCCAAGATCAAGGCACTGGCAGATTCAGTGTCTGCGGAGGCCCTGCTTTCTCAGAGACAGCTGTCTTCCCACCCTACCCTCAGATGGCAGAAGAGGCAAGGGGCCTTTAATAAGAGCCTCCTTTATAGGGGCTACTAATCCTAGTAATGAGGGCTCCACTCCCAAGATCTAAGCCCTTCCCAAAGGCTCCACCTTCTAAATCGCATCACTTTAGGGGTGAGGATTTTAATGTATAAATTGAAATGGTCGGACATAAACATTTAGACCATATTACTTTGTTAGCTAGGAGAGGAGGAAAAAGATTATTAGTATTTTCCTATGAATGTATGCCATAATGACTGGCAGCTCTGAAAATTAGTTACCAGTAATAACAAATAGCACAGTTGGCAAATATTTTGTTTTTTAGATAAGTGAAATAGGCCATCTCTATTGTATCATTCTCAATAATTTGAATAGATGCATACTTTAATAATTGAGAAAACTTTGTATTTAGGTGTAGCTGAAAGAGGAATTATACATATGAATAGCTAAGATTTATTTAGCACTTATTTTACTCTGAGCACCACGCTATGGCTACAGGTTTTACTTACATGATTTCATCTAATCCTCTTAACAAAAGATTAAGGTTGGTCTCATTATTACCCTCATTTTATAGATGAGACGAATCAAGGCTCAGAATTGATTAAGAAATCAGCTTTTTCTTACATAGCTGGTAAGAGGGAGGACCAGGATTAAACCTGGAATGCCCAACTAGGAAGCATAAGTACTCTACAGCTTTCCTTATACTGCATAAAACTCTAGCCGTGTCCACGGGGTGTGTCATTCGTCTCGGCAAAAACCTCTACTTTCTGTGACAAAGTAGAAAAAGACTGAGAGTCTTGAGGCTGAGCTTCTGGCCTCAAGATTTCTATGAGACGGTGACCTCGTTTTGGACCTGGTGCTAAGAAGGCCAATACCATGTGTAAAATGTTTCTCTTTCCTAGGTGGCAAGTGCCACTGCATTTCATGGTCTCAGATCAAAATACAACTTCATTAGCTTCTTTGAACAAAATGTTCCTGTTGAAGAATGGAATGGAGTTAACTGTGTAAAGGGTCTGATGCAAACTTACTCCTACTCCAAATGCATATCCTATTGACAAAGAGTTTGAACTACTGAATTTGTATATGAAACTTAGGGCATCCTTTTGCTTTCAGTTGTCATAAGAAAAAAAAAAAAAAAGAAAGGGCATTACTACTGTCAATATAAATAAATGAAAAATCTAAACCACTTCTATTTATCATTTCAGAATTGAGAAAGAGTAAGAAATGAACTTTTGGCCCACAAACCAGAAATATATATATTCAACAGCCTAGGAATATATATATATATATACACATATAGTTTTTTTTATTGTTTACTTTTTAAGACAGAGTCTCACTTTGTCATCCAGGCTGGAGTGCAGTGGCATGGTCATAGCTCACTGTCATCTTGAACTCCTGGGTTCATGCAATCTGTCTGTCTTGGCCTCCCCAAAGTGCTAGGATTACAGGCCTAAACCACAGCGCCTGGCTTGGGATATTTTTAAGTAATGGATAATATTCAATGATTCAACTCCAAAGTAGTTGAGCAAAAGAAGTACATATATTTAAAAAGATGCCTTCTTTCCATTTCAATGTTCAAATTGAAAATGAATTCAAATAAATTAAACAAAAAATTCAATGTCAAATTTCAACTACAAATAAAACTACAGAAAGATCAAATAATAAACTGGAAAATATGGCAGGACTACCTTACTCCTGAGTGGAAATGCAATACATTCTAGTTACGGGCCCTGTATTATTCTAGGTTGTTTGTGCGTTGATTTTTCTCATGGATTATGACTTGACCATCTTTGAAAGCATCTCTTCCTACCCTCTCTCTTTACATAGATCTTAAATATAATAGCCAATAAATATTTGTGGATTTGATTAAAACTTCACGAGCTATAGGCGAGAGAAAACATGCATGGATGTATGACATATGTAATTTAATATCAATAATGTCCACATAGACAAGACTGAGAAGCCCCTGCCTGTGCGCGCTGTATCCTTACTGTATTAGTCAGGGTTCCCTAGAGGGACAGAATTAAGGGGAGTTTATTAAATATTAACTTACATTATCACGAGGTCCCAAAATAGGCTGTCTGCAAGCTTGAGGAGCAAAGAGAGCCAGTCCGAGTCTCAAAACTGAAGAACTTGGAGTCTGATGTTCAAAGGCAGGAAGCATTCAGCATAAGAGAAAGATGTAGGCTGGGAGGCTAGGCCAGTCTCCCCTTTTCACATTTTTTTTGCCTGCTTTATATTCACTGACAGCTGATTAGATGGTGCCCACCAGATTTAGGATGAGCCTGCCTTCCCCAGCCCACTGACTCAAATGCTAATTTCCTTTGGCAACACCCTCACAGACATACCCAGGATCAATATTTTGCATCTTTCAATCTAATCAGGTTGACAGGATTAGCCATCACACTTTCTCCCTCCTGACAGAAAGCCGCCACTTCTAACTTTGATGGTAAGAGTTCAACCTCAAAACGTCTTTGGAGACCTTCCCTCGGCAGAATCTTTGCCTCATCTTTGGTGAATCAGGAAGAACTGCAAGAAGACATAGTATTGCTTCTAGTTCATAGAGAACTTGAGATGTGGATAAGCTAATTGCTTGCCTAAGATCCTCCAGTAAAATTCTAACTGGGAGGAAGTCAGTCACAGCCCAGCTCCCTCTTCACCTCACCCCCCTGCCTCCCCACATGCTGAGGTTCAGGTTCTTAATCACACTACATACCAAAGGCTTTGCAGAACTAATCGGTCTTCAACCATACACTGTATTACCGAACATGTCCTAGAGCGGAGAACAGATGTCACCATGAGAATCTTATTTTCTACTATTTCCCGATTTTGGCATGTGAACATTTGTAACCCTAATGTTGCATGAATGACGATTTTTGCATGTAATATTAATAATGGGAACTCACAAATGCTCCTTCTCCAGTTGGAATGCTGCCACATTCTGATTTCAACAGTGTACGGCTGCTTTTTCAACGTGTGAATTTGCCTAAAGGTCCTGTTGGTGTCTTCTGAGCTGAAAATGTGGTCACTTCTAGTCTTACAGATAATGTCAGGTAAACATTTAGAGATATTTACATTTCTCACTTTCAGAGCACACATAGCCTATAATCCTAGCACTCTGGAAGGCCAAGGAGGGAGGATTGCTTGAGCCTAGGGGCTAGAGACCGCCTGGGCAACATGGTAAAACATTGTCTGTACAAAAAGTACAAAAATTAGCCAGGTGTGGTGGTGTGTGCCGGTAGTCCCAACTACTCAGAAGGCTGTGCCAGGGCAGGGTGGGGATGGGATGGGAACTGCTTGAGCCCAGGAGGTTGAGGCTACCGCATTCCAGCCTGGGCGACGGGGCGAGACATTGTCTGGAAAAAAAAAAAAAAGAAAAGAAAAAAAAAGCATATACATACCCAACACCAGTAAAGGCCGATGGAAAAGCCTTTTACTTGTCAAGACCCAATTCACAGAGCTATTTCTACTGTTAAGGAAACCAGTAACATCCACAGCAGAACAAAACACCGCATAACACCATATCCCAAATATTGGTTTGCCAAGTAACCATGGGTTAAAAAGTGAGCTTTCAAAGAGAGGGCTTTCAAGTGGACTGGCACTTTTATTTCCTCTTCCAAAGTGAAGGTTTAAAAAAAATGGCAACCTCTGTTGTCTAGCCAAGGCTGCTGAACCACATACACCTGCCAAACCACCCAAGAATCAGTCAGCAGCTGGTATATAGTGGCTGAATCTGCTTCTTCCCTCAAGATGCATGTACTGGGGATGTCCTCATAGGGTCATGCCAAGTCAGAGCCAGGATGTTACGTTTCGTTTTGCTTTTCCTTTGTTGTTTTTGTTTGTTTGTTTGTTTTCAAGACTGAGTCTCACTCTATTGCCCAGGCTGGAGTGCAGTGGCGTGATCTCGGCTCACTGCAATCTCTGCCTCCTGGGTTCAAGTGATTTACATGCCTCAGCCTTCTGAGCAGCTGGGATTACAAAGCACCCACTACCTTGCCCGGCTAATTTTTGTGTTTTTAGTAGAGACGGGGTTTCACCATATTGACCAGGCTGGTCTTGAACTCCTGACCTCAAGTGATCCACCCACCTTGGCCTCCCAAAGTGCTAGTATTACAGGTGTGAGCCACCGTGCTCGGCTGGCATTATGTTTTATAAAGAAGTTTGGTCGCTTAGAGCCAGTGGCTCTGAGTTACACAATTCTGGGGCTACATGTGCAATAATTATGAAGCAGTGGCATTCTAACATAATCTAATATCCCCAAACAAAAATCAGAGGTTAGATCCTATCAGGTTCAAATCGGAACCTGAGTTCCTCTATGTTGGATCCCACTGCATGAATTAGGCAACATGATAATGAGAAGTATTTCCTTTTGAGCCAATCATTTTGCCCTAAACAACAGAACGTGGAAGAGCTAAATCCTACATTAGATTCACACATGTGAGGTAATGTTTAAAAGGAAAGTGGAAGCAGTTGTACTATCTCTGAAAATTTTTGCCGCATCTGCCCACCCAGAGTAGGGTATCTCATCAGTGGCTCCTCAGCTAAGGCTTCTAATTCCTTTTGAATTTAATTTGGAGCCAGTCAGTTGATAACTCATATAAAATATGGAAAAGAGATATAGTTGTTGATTCTGGGCACGCATATATTTGGCCCATATAGTTAAACGATAGTTTCTCGACAGTGAGATAAAACGGCCTATCAGAAGCAGTAATAAACCCCAGGTGACTCCACAGAGCCATTCTTTCAGGCTTCAGTGTCTACCCTACCGAAAGGGTGCTAATGTTCTTCATATTAAGGCTGACTAACATAATGTCCTTCCTGTTAACTTGGGAAAGATGTAACCACTTGATTCTACAGGGTGAAAAACTTGTCCTTTGGAACCATGGAGGGAAGAAACTTTTACTTTATTTCCCCATTTCAATTATCAGCTTGAAAGAAGGCTCTTTACTCTTTCAGATAGAGAGCTGTTTAAGAATAATTGTTCCTAAAACAAACACACACAGACATGTGTCCACTTGTTTGTGCGTAAAATATCTCTGGAAAAAGGTGCACGAAACTGGGAACACTGGGAAGGGTGAGGGTTCGGGGGTGGAGAGGAATGAGGTTAGCGGAGCAAGGAGCAGTGAACTGTTGGTGGGGAAGGAGGGTGGGAGGGAGACCTTCTTTGGTTACTTGCAAATCAAATTTCTAACGAATTTTGAAAATTTGGTGTCACCCCTCTTTTATCTACCTTCTTAACACCTGTGCGGGAAACATGGCGACAACAATGATGATACAATTTACTGAAAGCTGATGATGACTCAAGCACTCTGCTAAGAACCTGGCATAAATTATATCATTTGTTCCTCTTTTTTTTTTTTTTTTTTGAGATGGAGTTTCGCTCTTTGCTGCCCAGGCTGGAGTGCAGTGGCACAATCCTGGCTCACTGCAACCTCTGCCTCCCAGGTTCAAGAGATTCTCCTGCTTCAACCTCCCTAGTAGGTGGGATTATAGTCACCCACCACCATGCCCAGCTAATTTTTTATATTTTTAGTAGAGATGGGTTTCGGAATGCTGGCCAGGCTGATCTCGAACTCCTGACCTCAGGTGATCCACCCGCCTTGGCCACCCAAAGTGCTGGGATTATAGGCGTGAGCCACCAAGCTCAGCCTCATTTGTTCCTCCTAACAACCCATGTGGTAGGTACTATCTTCATTTCACAGATACCGAAGTGAACCACATACACTGACTGACCAGAGATGCATGTACTGGGTGTCCTCTTGGGGTCATGCCAAGCCAGACACAAGGTATTATGTTTTATAAATAATTTTGGTGTCTTAGAGCCAGTGGCTCTGAGTTACACAATTCTAGGACTACATCTTTCGTAATTATGAATCAATAGTGTTCTAGCATAATCTAATATCCCAAAGCAAAACTTAGAGGTCAGATCCCATCAGATTCAAATCCAAACCTGAGTTCATCTGTGTAGGATAGAAGAGACTAGAGAGCAAAGTAAGTTCAGATCGTGCTGTTCAAGGTAAACTCTTTGCCTTTAGGAAAAACTATTTTAGGAAGCTTCACATTGACCTTTATAGACGCTCCCTCTACTGCTCTTATATAACAACAACTAGAGAGGATTATCTTCCTATCAAGTTACAACTGTTCACCTGGTCACTCACATGAGTCTTATGCCAAGGACAGGTTTGTGAAATCTCCCCTACTCACAAAGGCTGCCTGACAGGAAAAGGACTTGACCTTCTTCTTGGGAGCTTGCTCACCAGCGTAAGGTGATCAGTCCTCATTCCCATCT